CCTCAAACGGTTGAATCGCATTGTTCTTATCCTGAAGGTACATTATAAAATCGATTCTCTCGAAAAGGATTCTTATATGAAATGTGATTTCGTGTAACTTTGTCTAACACAATATAATATATATAATTAGAGCGACATGTTAAATAAGTGTCTCGCAGAAATCCGCTTATTTAATAATAATGGCGATGCAAGGTGAACGGCCCTTAATTACAACAATCCGATTAGTTCGCCACAAGTTACGTGTCCCTTTAATCAAATTTTTCTGTCTCGCCAGACAAAGCTGTTTACCGTCACGACATTTTCTCTTTTATCCTCTTATATATTTCAAAAACATCGGATATTTAATAGGCCTGTTCTTTTTCCATATCATTCTCAGAACTGAACTCCTTGCACGGTTTATTGTACTTTTTTTTTTTCATTAGAGAAAAGCAGATAAAAGATGATCCATGTAAAAGTTTAGTGGAGTATAAAAAAAAGAACAGGCCTAATATACATATCGTTAAGAATAACAAATTTTGACAGCTTCTTTGACGCTCGCTTCCTCACGATAAACTAGATCAATGATATTTCGTAACAGTTGACATATCAAGTACACGACGCGGCGTTGTGATTTTTTTTTTGCCCGATTTAGGCACGATACGAGATAAATAAGACTGTGGGAACCGCATAAGGCACCATGCGGGGGCACAGTAAGATAATATTTCTAGACGATATGCGATACGGGCGCTTGTACGTGCATTAAAGGGAGAACGGAGAAGACGGTACGTTAGGTAACAAACCCGTTACTCTATTTCAATACCGCAGAAGGTGCGGTCGTACTTTTCTTCATTTTGATTCGATAAAATGTCTCTCCGCGATACTGCATTCTCGATACGCACGAGCACGTAATATTAAGTACTTCGAAATAGAATTACGATCGAAGCGACTAACTGTCACGAATTTGTCTTCGATATACACAATACTGTTCGGAGAAGATATACTACAAATGTAATGTACCTAATCTATGCAATGTACGTGAATGCATTAAAATTCACGGATTGTGAGATATAACGTTCAAATTTCTGCGTGTAAAAGAAAATCATTCTCGCATTCTTTAAAAAATACAGTTATAATACATTTGTTTCCAGTTGCACCTAACAATGCATTGTAATATCAACGTATGTCACTCACGCACCCTTCGCTTGTGCCGGCATCCATAGAAGTGCGAATGTAGTCGCGTTGACAAATCGATGAGAACGTTTCAAGATGTTCTTTCACAGTTACAAGACCTCGATTCTATTTAATCATGTCTTTTAGTAGCGAAATTTATTTTGCTCTTGTTAAAATAAATATTAATATAAGTAATGTAAAAAATAAAAATAAAGATTAATATAATATTATATTAAAACAAAGAAATAGAGTAATCAAAAGATATCAAATAAAAGTAAAAACAAACATAAATTCTTTTAAAATGTAATGATGATAGCACAGTTTCGATTCATATAGAGTTTTCATTAGTTCAAATAAATAAAAATAAAGAAAGAAGTATAAAATAAAATCACAAATATATAAAGAATTTAATGAAAATTAAAAAATATAAAAGAAGTAATAAATTAATATAATTACGATCGAAAATTAAAATGAGAGATATAAAAGATATAATTTTTGAAACTTTTTTAATATCATATACATTTAACAATGTGATTTAGATGTACTGTTTCTTTTTTGTTACAAAATTCTGAGACTTATTTACAAACGAATCATGATTTGCAGCTATTGGTGGAACAAGTGACGATTTTGGAAACAATGACGCCTTTGGATTTTATGGCATTTAGGGACTTATTATGCCCGGCCTCGGGTTTTCAATCGCTACAATTCCGTCTGTTGGAGAATAAATTGGGTGTAAAACAGGAACTCAGAGTCAAATATAATTACATAAAAATTTTTGGAAGGAATCCTGAAGCTATTGAGGCAATCAAGCGATCTGAGGAGGAGCACAGTCTCAGTACTCTGGTACAGAGTTGGTTAAGCAGAACGCCTGGGCTGGAGACACACGATTTCGATTTCTGGGGAAAGTATAAACGAGCGGTGGAGAAGATGTTGGCCGAGCAAGAACAAGCTATACATGTAACTACACTCAACTTCACCAATTTTGCACAACTCGTAATGCGTTATACTAAATTATTTGATATTTGTACCTCTTTTAACAATTTCGGGGGGACAAACTCTTTTTACGAAAATTCAAAATAATTAATAAAGCAATGAAAAAATAAGAGCATTAATGTTTTTAATGTTTCTAAAATTAATAAAAATTTGCTAAAAAATTTAATTTAAAGCTTAATTATATTATATAATTTAAAGCTCAATTTTTTTTTTAAACATTAAAGAGATCATCATAAAGCTACAAAATTGCAAAACAATCAGATTTTAAATCAGATTATTCTTTATTTTCGAATTTCAGAATAATTGACTATTCATAATTTATCAACTTTTCAGAAACTATCTAAGGAATGCATTAAAGACTATCATTTAGCTAATGTGCGCTCGCGGCAAGCAGTTTTCGACAGCATCTTCAATGAATCACTTCACAATGCTCTCGTGTCGCGCGGGGAACGCAGATTTTCGCACAGTGCTCTTCAGGGAGCAATAATGATCACCCTATATCGAGATGAACCACGATTTAGCCAGCCACATCAAATCCTCACGGCGCTAATGGACATCGACTCTCTAATTACGAAATGGAGGTGTAAGAGAAAACACTTATTAACATCTTGTTATTTGTATTTGCTCTCTAAAAAATGTGGATGTAAATTTAATACCATAGATTTAACACTAGGTTTTTACTGAGTTTTTAATCTATACCACGTAATAATGTGTTATTATACACACATCATAGGGTTTAAAATCACATCATACTAATGTTAATATTATCACAATAAATTATAGATCGTATGATGTTAAATTCACATCCATATTTTTTAGAAAATAATTATTTACTATATATTTTACTAAAATTTATTTTATTAATATTTTATTTATTTTTTACAACATTCACATAACTATCAGTATTTTTTTTTATTTTCTTGCAACATTCAAAAAACTTACAAAAATACATAATTATTATATCCTTGTGCATGAGTAATGCCTTATCCGAGTCGAACACTGGTTGTTGTGTAGAAAATGTGAAATTTTATTAAAATTTGATAAATACATACGTTTCGATCCACAAATCGGATCCTTATTAAATTATCACTGATTTATCATTGTATCAGGAAGTATTATGATAGCAGTGTCACTTTCATAACGAAATATTGATAAGGATCCGAATTGTGGATCGAAACGTATGTATTTATCAAATTTTAATAAAATTTCACATTTTCTACACAACAACAATCAGTATTCGACTCGGATAAAGCATTACTCATACACAATTAAGGATTTATTCAAACGGGTCTTATTATATTGATTAATTATATAATTATTATATCAGTCATATTACATGTGTAAAATATGTATACGTATACACTTATAAAGTTATCATTATCAGATTTTAAATTATTGATAACATTACTACGTATAATGAAAATACGCTTATATCATAAGTCATATTCATGTTTCATCATAATCTTATATTATATTTTATCATAATCATACATTAGAATACGTTATGTGTTGTTCTATATTTTTAGATAATCATGTTATCATGGTACAAAGAATGATTGGATCTCAACAATTAGGCACTGGTGGTTCTTCTGGCTATCAGTATTTAAAGTCCACTTTAAGGTATTTATCTGCTTCAATTAATATTAATTTATGCTTAATAAATTAATTACAATTAATATTAAATAATTTATTTACTGAAAAGATATGTACATTAATAGCAATGCGAAAATAATATCGCGAATTTTTATCATTAGCTTAAATAGTATTATTGTAATATCACATGATTAAGGCATTACGACAGAATAATTTTGTTTATCGATAATGTAACATGCATAAATCTTTATTTATACTTAGATAACTATTGTCAATTATTATTGATTACGCCACTTCAAAAACGCATATCACGTTTCGTAAGACTTGAGTCAACTATCACGTACTTTACCGATTTGTAAATATAAATGTTCTACATAATAAATTTTGTTTGTTTCATGTGTCTTGACGAAGTGATAGATACAAAGTCTTTTTGGATTTGTTTAACTTGTCGACTTTTTTGGTACCACGTCACATGATCCCGCCGTTGACGAAGCAAATGAAAACGAAGTTATCAATTGCATCGTACAATTGGATCACAGACGAAGATCAAGATGAAACGGTGGATTCTTTAAGAAGCTCGTATATTAACTTACCCATGACACAGCAAACTTCATGAAACTTTAATAAGTTTTACTTCTTTAACGTAATGTATACTCAGTGTATATTATATGTGCCACGTTGATATCATTAAATAATACAGTTAGACGATTGCTTGAAAACAAATACTTTCTCTTTAGCATTTAAATTCTATTATAAAGAAAATTTAGTATGCGTGATTCTCAAAATTAATGAAGCGTTACAATTAATTCAGACATTTTTTATGATTTTAAAGAAACATATGGCTCCATAAGATATATTAAAATTTTCTGTTATTAATTTTACAAATTTTAAAATTCTTAACTGTATAAAAAAATTATACTTGAATTTAACAAATATAAATATAACTATGTAGTACAGTAATTATACTGCATTGCTTATATGAATAGAATAAGATAGTGGAAAAAAAGATTGTAAAATATTAAATTATTCTAGATTATTACACTATTTAAAAATTAGGAAAATGTTTGCAGAATTCCAGGACTCACGCATTTCATCTTTTTACGAGTTAAAAACTAAAATTTGAAATTTGAAAAATAATTTATAAAATATTTATAATTATATATATATATGTACATATATACATACACACACACATATGTATATATAAGACTAGACATAAATTATAAATTAGATTAGAATGATACTAGGAAATGATAAAAGAAAAAGTCAATGTCTCGAGTGTTTACAATATCGATTATTGTAAGAAGAAAAAGTGATAGATACAAAATCTTTTTAAATTTCAATTGTAACCTTCTTGATACCAAGTCACATATTTCCGCCATTGATGAAGCAAATGAAAATGGAATTATTTACATTGTATAATTGGAATATGGACGAAAATCAAGAGAAATCCACAGGCTCTGGGGAAATATGGCTGTGTATAGTTTCTAACAATTGTACATATCACTATTTCACTTCCCGAAAAATTATTTTTTCGTCTTGGATCACATTTAAAATCATATTGATGGATTTCTGATGTAACAAACAATATGGGAAACATAATTAACATCAATGTACTTAATAAAGTATTTTATTAAGTCATATTTTCACAGCACTTCTCGATTTATTTGGTCAGTAATTGTAAACTCTGTAATTTAACATTCTTTGATTGATTAAACAACTTGGAGCGAGGAGACCTGATTGGCTATACCTGCGAACATACGTCAAGGTATTATATACATATTTGTTTATCCGCCCGGAGAAATAAGCACTCAATTCAATTAGCGCGAATGTCACATGCCCGCTTGTTCATTGGTCTTACCGCATAAATTCTTGCCAACCGCAATATAAATGTAACCTTTATTGCCGAAAGACGGTCCCCACGAATTTTTAATGATATAATGCGGTATACGCGCTTCTATGTCATATCCCACTATCTGCACCGCATGATTCAGGTTGTTGAACGAATCGTCGCAGTTATACTGTATTATGCCACCTAAATAATTCTGCCAAGATATAGCGTTCACGGCAGCCGCTACGGGTCCATGAGTAACGAGCAACGTCAAAAGTTCCGTCTCCGCGTCTACAAAGCTGAAACAAACTCGATTAGTATTCGCGAGTATCGGGGCATTAGACAGCGCGGCGTCCAGCCGAAAGCCTTCAGGCTCTCCTTCTTTGTTAATGCCGACATAATTTGGAAATTGATGTAAATCTCGTAGCAAAACAAAGAATTACATTCGTATCGCGCGAAAGAAAATAAATGATAAAAAACAATTAATTAAACAAATATTAGAATCCTTATTACGACCGTACAATTATAAATTAACAAGAATAGGGAAACCGACTAACGGTCTACTAAGCCATTTACGGTCAAAGCTAGATCACTATGCTTATTATAATGTGTGAATTTTATATACCGCGTATGTAGTTACCAATCACGTGCCGAAAATTTTTTCAGACTTACAACGCAACACTAAACAACTACCGCAGTAATATCACTTTTTAATTAAACACAGATTTTAGATTCATCATTACTTTAATATTTACATTGTTAAAATTTTAATATATGTCTTTCAACATATTATTAAAGATCTAATAAGATGCTATATAGAAGCATCAAATAATTGTTAGATGGGCTTTAGCAATTTAACTAAAAAGTGATATTACTGCGGTAGTTGTTTAGTGTTGCGTTGTAAGTCTGAAAAAATTTTCGGCACGTGATTGGTAACTATACGCGGTATATAAAATTCACACATTATAATAAGCATAGTGATCTAGCTTTGACCGTAAATGGCTTATTGTTAGTAGACCGTTAGTCGGTTCCCCTATTCTTGTTAATTAACAATTAATTAATTAATAATAAAATTATTTCAATATTACACTCTTTATTGTTTCTATTTAGCCGATTTTTTTTTAAATTTTGCGTTGCAAAAGAGAAACTGTAGGTACATACATACATTCTTATTGTTTCAAAAATAAAATATTATAAATAATAAGACAATAAAAACGCATACTCCTCCTTTTTGTGCCAACCTTCGGTTGGCAGCAGTCGGTCGTAAAAATAGTACATTATAAATAATAATGCTCGAATAAAAATAAAACTACCTGTCGCATGTGAAATCCGTTACTCTAACTCCCAACGTCTTTGTGGAAATTCTGAAAGATCAAGTGTCATCATACTTTTGTGGTTTCGCTAAGAAAAATATTCTTGTATGCAACCTACTTAGGCAATCTACACGTGTCGGTTTGTAATGTGAGAGGATAATCGGTCTCAGATATAATTCTTGTTTTTGAAGTCAACAGCCATGAGAGTAGACTGCATATGTCACCGCCTTGGCATCCGAAATTGCCTGGCATACAGTCGATCATCTATATAACGTTGGAGGATACACTATATTGGCTGACAAATTAATAAATAAAAACGTTTAAAAAAGTTTTGAGATTTTCAAGAGATTGTCCATTTTAAGCATCGATTTTCTTCTTTTAGAGAGTTAAACATCGGTTTCTCACTCGGAAAAACCCTCGTACGTTTTAAGCGGTTCCTATGATCAATATTATTGAATAATAATTCATATTGCAGAGTATTATTGATCGTCTGGATGGTCTGGAGGTAATATTGACGGCTTGTACAGTATATTGCGACAATCAAAAGTGTTTTTTAAATATATTGATTTATCTATGAGTATTACTGCTCAATAAGGAGCCAATTTACAAGGATCGACATTCACTCTTTTAGCGTTATAAATAAATTACATAGTTCACATCAAAATTAACGTTGGATAGTAAAACTTTTGAATGGTTACTTTTGAATATATTTATTTTTTTGAAAAACTAATTAAACTATACTTTTTTCGCTCATTATCACATATAGAAAATAGCTGTTTCATCAAGAAAGTGCTATCAGTTGAGAAATTTGTCTTCAATAATTCTAATTGTTAACTTCTAAGATTCTCATTACAAATACTTGTCGAATGTAATCGCAAATGTCGATACGCATGTCGCTAATAATTAAGTAACGAAAGAAATTAGACATTAAATTAATAACAATAATTAACTAAATTATTAGTGAATATATGGTTCGATTAAAAATTGTATTAGGCATTACATTAAATTGTCTAAAAGAGAAATAATGTTATAAAATATATTTGTAATATATTATTGTTGTTATAAATATAACTGAAGAATATAATATAACTGAATAATATAATCGTTCAGGAACAGCTTTAAATCTCAAAACTTTTCTAATTACTTATGTATAAGGCTAATATTACATTTGGCTGTTTTTATAATACGACAAATTTTTTAAGTCTATTGATTGGTTATAGGATATAAAAATCCGAAAATCTCTTCTACAATCAATTAACACGCTTGAAAAATTTATCATACCAAATATATGAGCCTAAGCATGTAAGAACTGCGTTGATAGGTCAAGAAAGCTGTTATATATATAGAATAAGAGCCTAACTATTTTTTAGTGTCCATCAATGTGTACAACATATTTATTATATTAACGACGATTCGATACGCGTGAAACCGCTTTCATGAAATTTGTATTTGACACGAACTTAACAGTTCCTCCGCTTAGTAAATAGAAAAGCGTGTCGAAAATGTAAGGACCTACTTCCTGCACGCTAAAAGAATGCAAAGTTCCGTTTTCGATGGCATACACCGATTCAGCCACCCCGACGGTGCTGAACGCCCAGCAAGCGCCGCAATTCTCTTGGCTCAGAACTGGTCCTACGACCCCCTTATCTCGCCAATCGAACTTAGAGGGTATATCCGTTATTGGTATCATTCTTTTCATACGATTAATTGAGCCTGTAGAGTGCTGATGATAATATGACGCTGTTGTATGTTTTTGGCCTAACAAAATTGTGGTATTCAGCAAATAAATTATCATATTAATTATTATACTCATTGCAAATCCATACGTTTCTCAGGGAAACTCTTGTAATTTGTAAATAATGTAGTATGCTTAAGTATTTAATATTTTAATGAACTTTAATGAAGGTTGTTCTTGCGTATTTCAAACTTAAATATTTAATCGTTATTTTTCTTAAACAAAATTAAACTTACCCCGTAAAGATAAGTCGGAAATTAGCGCTTGTTGCATGAATTCATCCTCAGATAAATCGGAGAATTCTGTCAGCCCGTAATATGCACTTTCTTGTGACGATCGTAAACTATTCAGCTTTTCAATGTGTCGCAATGATTTCTGCAATTAATTTCGTACTCTAATTAATATTATTGTAAAAAAGTGCACATTTACAATAATTTATAAAGATTAATTTTTATTTATGTTATCATGTCACTTTTTAATATTTTATTACTACATAATTACTCAATTTATAGTACACATATATGTAAATTTATTTTTCAACTGATAAATTAATAATTATTTAATACATAGTATACATTCTAGATATATAATTGTTTTATATTGTATAATTGAAAATTTTAATGTAAAATAATCGACAAAAATAATAATAATAAAATTAATAAGTGTGTAAATACAATGGAACGTGTTCAGTAAAGCTATAATGAATCTAGAATTAAATAAACTTTATCATAAAAAAAATGTAGACATTCCTTAGCATTAATAGGTATACACAATATGTTATAAAAAATTGATTTTAATTTAGCTAATGAATCTAAAAAAATAAATAAAAAAAGAATAGATTTGTTTAGTTTTAAAATTATTTAGTTTTAATATTTCTTTAACGAAGATATTAATTAAGACATTTATAATAATTTTCAAGTAAATAATAGTAAAATGTACTTGAACAAAATTCAGAGATCAAATTTTTTCAAACAATTTCAAAAACTTTATCTTATTATATAATCATCATTCATTATACTTATTATATACAATTTTTTCGATTTAGAATTTAAAGACAAATAATGATAAATATTGAAAAAAATATTGCTAATAAATCATTATCTCTTTTAATGTATATTTTGCCTCTTCTCCTATCCTCCAGTAGAAATAAAAGCATCACATTACAACGAGAGTGTTACAACGAGAATACGAGTGATATATAAGTGCGCGCGTGTGCATACATGTTGTGTTTATACGTTTAATTAATTAGAATACATACAATTAATAAGCGATTATCATTTAATTAAAAATCCCTTAATGTGAAACTTATAATAATTTAAACTATAAAGTGTCAATGTGAGTATACGTGCAGGAAAAACGGTGAGTTAAATCTGAGAGGGACGACAATGCTGTTGCGCAACCATTGCAAGTTGATAGCTATTCCTACACACAATCACAGTTCGCAGATAAGTCTTTACCTGAAAACGTTCGAATCGCTCTTCGTATTTCGCGGGATCATTTCTGTAGGATTTATTATATCGGGCTACGTAATTCGCGAACAATTCCGCGTCATTCACTGTTTTATCAGAATCTACTTTGATCGGCACGATAAAGAAACAGAGGCTCACAATCAGCACTATCACCACCACTGTTCGCCACTCCATGTTTCACGCACGACAACGCACGCAGACGGCAGAACGCACATTTGTGATGTGCGTATGTGTTGTCATGCAATAGACGACGCAGACGCGATAAGTGAAGAGCGGTCAAACAACAAGCGTTATGGCTAGTATTTAAAACTTGTCGTATAAACATCTAGACACCGCATGCTATCTTTAAAAATGGCGAGTATCTATCAAGATACTCTCGTGGACAACTCTTTAGTATAGAGATGTTCGATTTTAACTAGATTCTTTAAAAAACGATACTTTGTCCCCAAAAAGATTATATTCCAAATCGAACTTGGCGAATTCCGAGTTTAAGATAGATCGATTTATTTAACGAGAAATCGATTTTCGATTTCTTTAATCGAGAAGAGATTTGCCTTAATTTAATACTTCCAAGAAACGTACCGGTTGAATTGGATTCTCAGTGCGTTCCGAAACGTAATGTATAGTAATTAATTAATATCTAATAATTATAATAAATGAATAATTTACGTTACGTATGTTATAGACTTTTATAATGTTGTGTAATTTGTGTCTCGTTTTTTTGAACGCAGTGAGAATTAATCCAATTTTTATTACCGCAAAGTTATGTTCAGGAATTTAAGAAATATCATTTTTATCTCTGTTGCTCATTAAATGTTAAATAAAGATAAAATGATATCTAGATGCACCCGGATGACGTTTCTGAATGTAATTGTATTCTGTAAAGTATGTAATTGGCGGTATGTATTTGTATGTATTTGTCATATTTTTAAATTTTTAATGCATGACGTGTTGTGTACTATTCCGTTTTCGCGTTACAACCAATTGAGTTTGATAATATCCATAATTATTAACTAATTATTACTAATAAAATGTAAAAAAATTAATTAAATCTAATTTTACAACATTATAGTTTTTACAAAATCGAATTTAGTTTTTTTAATTAAAGTTATTTCACTTAGAGATAAATCAAAATTGTGTTTTGTTTTATGTATTAAAAAATTTTATTATACTATTAAAAAATAGATAATATAATTCTTTAATGGAATCGATTTTTAGCATATTCATCTAGCTTCAATTTCTAACTGGATCAATTTCGATTAGACTAACTCAATTATGAAAACTTTATCTTATAACAATTTTCAATCGAGAATTTAAAAGTAAATGACGATTTAAGAAATAATGATAATAAATTATCTTTTTTAATATTTTTATCAACGAAAGTTTTCAAAATAATTAGCCGAAAAATTTAAAATAAGTTTTTGTTTTTATGCAAAACTAAATAGATACATGTATTTTCAATGTTTTGGAAATAATGAAAGAAACAAAGAAACAGAAATACTACATTATAAAATTTTAATTAAATATCTATTAGATTTGTGGTATTTATGCATGTTTTTTTATTGAAAATTTTCAGAATTGACTTTGAAGTCAAGTTTACCCTACAATCTATCCAGAACAATTAAAATTATATGAAACAAATCAGTGGCGCTCTCTATTGGAACAATTACATATTATTTACTGTTGTCTGCTGTTGATAACAACACATGTTATAAATATATAATATATATTATGTGTATGTTATAGATATA